ACCAACAGTATCACCATCGACACTGTAAATGAATTGAGGCTGGTCACTGAGAGACTCCTTCAGCTTATGTAACAAAATATTGACAGAATTGTAACGTAGCAATGCTGGAGCTATATCAAGAAAAGCTGCTTGACCACCTGAATCAACTCCATAAATCCAATGGACCTCACCAAGAGAAGGCAAGGAATCAAGATCACTGGAAGGAATATCAAGTACTTCTTGAGATACCTTAGAAATGGTAGTGGTATGTGAAGGAGGAGTACTAGTGGATGGAGAGGATATTGAGGAGTGTCCAGAGGATGAGTGGTCAGTGTGTTGATGGGTTGACTGGGCAGGATCAATCTTATCTGATGGTTTCTGTATCTTTAACTGCTTAGCTGCCATTACCTTCAAAGACTTCAAGTCAACAATATTCCATTCCTTGTCTCCTCTTCCTCCTCCCTCTATTAAGTTAGTAGTATTGAGTTGTCTTGGAGTAGGTTCAGCAACAACAGGAGTGCTGTTATGAGTCAGGACAGGATCCTCATCATTCAAGAGTTTCAAGACAGATGATTTCCCACTGCCAGGGGGACCGGAAAGAGAAAACTTAGAGTACTTTACTGTGACACGTCCTTCCTTGAGAGCTTTGAGTAGTTTATTGCAATACACCTCTACAAATGATATATACCACACGATAATACCTTATTGGTCTTATTGTACAAAATTGTATTAAACAGGAATACAAAAATGACAACAATAGTAACAACAAGAACAGTAATATCAACATAATGTATAAAGTATTAAAAGTACATTAACAATGTACTTGCACACGTATACATGATAGATCAATATAACTATACATGCATGTTTCACAAAGTGTAAGCAGTAAATAAGCAAACATGGTGATACCGTATAGCAATTCTTTAAGATAACAAATTCCACAAATTTCACGCATTTTTCAAGATTCATGAAATTAAATTCCTTGAAAATCAATTTATTACAGCAAAAATGGCAAAATAGTGAAAATTAAGACTGCAAACTTCCAGATATAGATCATTCGCAAAAATTATTTTCAGCAAAAAAACTGCTATACCATATCTTCATGTCCTGCTAATTCTTTAAATGTGCTACAGTATTCTTCCAGTTATACTAGCTGTAGTTTAATGCATTTATTAATGGACATGTGTTTCTACAATAATTATTACTGCTACCACATTAGATAAATACCCAGTAGTACACATATGGGGCGTGACCAGAAGATGAGCCTGACTGGAGATGCAATACATACAGAGTGGTGCTTTGCTAGCCCAATTACTAATGAGCAGGTACATGTACATGTATAAGTACCAGTACAATACAAAGGATATTGTATCAATATTGACAGACAGTCAGTATACAACAATTAAGCTATTCCAACAACTAACATGTACATACATGTATATTACATGTGTATGTATGCATGAAAATGTACATGTACATGTGTATGTATGCATGAAAATGTACATGTACATGTACATGTATGTACACTGTACAATGTTTCCTTGCTATAAGGTGGTTTATAATATTGGGCTAGTCCTCAAGTGTTGATGCTAGAGTTGAATTTTGTTCTAGTCTAGTGTCAAGCATGAATCAAAGGTCAAACTGCCCATGCTTTTGATTAAGTTGAAGGAACATTTAATAATAATAGTAACGAACACATAATACATGTACATGTATACATATGTATTACCGTACTTTCCCTAAATAATTGATAATGTAATTTCAAAAATAAAATAATTATTTTGGAGAAATAGTACCTAAAATAGTCTAATTACTCATCTTAAATATTATCCTTACTACTTGTTCTAGTTTCGTCAGGATTATCTATGGTATATTCATTTTAACTAGCAATGAAGGGGCAGGTAAGCTGCCTCTAAATTTGTCAAAAATTTTTTTGGCTTAATTATTTCTTTTTGATGTCTAAAATCTTGTTTAGAAAATTACCTGCCCAAAACAGTAATGATGCATTATTAAAGAAACTTACAGTAAACATGTACACAAAATATTTGGTTAAATTAAGGACTAGTGTACATTGATACACAATATTGATGGACATTGTAAAATAATTTTAAGGAAATCCAGCAATTAACACATGAATAATGTGTAATGGCTTGTTGCTATTTGCCCTAAATGTGACCATAATTGACAAAAGGTACCTTATGGTGGATAGAAAAATTGGTCTTCATAGCCTAAAAAATCCAACTTCCTGAGCTTCATTTATCATAAAATTACTCCAGAGGATGCAAAAAGTTACTATGTAGCTTAAAGAAACAATTGTTGACTAACAGGGCACTCACAGGTTGATATTTTTCATTAGAAAGATGAATTTTAAAATCCGCC